CGTCACGTGTTATTACACTATTCCATCAATTGCATTTTTTGTGCATACATAATATTGAATTTGAGCCCCATAAAAACTTTATTAAGTTAGTACTATATGTTTAGAGAGGAGACACACCAAAGAAAACTTGCCTGAGATCCAAATGTTGGTAAATGACAAAGTCAGAATTCTAAAGCAGAATTGTCTGGTTCTGGTTCCAAATGCTTTATTCCTTGCACTATGAGAGAGTATTTATTATTTAAAGCTGGCTCTGGAATCTTTTATAACATTTAATCCATTTAGTCTAAATCAGTAGGGTAATATGTAAAACACATTGCAAGAGGGGTCAGGGATCCCTGGGTGGTTCAGCAGTTTAGCATCTGCCTTCTGACCAGGGCGTGATCCTGGAGTCCCAGGATGGAGTCCCACATCGTGCTCCCTACATGGAGCCTGCTTCTCCCTCTGCCTGTATCTCTGCCTCTCTCTGTCTCTCATGATTAAATAAATAAAATCTTAAAAAAAAAAAGAGAGAGCGAGAGAGAGAGAGAGAGAGAGAGGTATTTAGTCTAACTGAAGTAGAAGGGGAGAAAGTTTTGGCAAAGTCTCTATACTTAAACCACAATAATCTCATAGTTTTCAGTCTTAAAACTTTCCTTTTATTTATGTGTTTGGTTTTCTTTTTATTCTGATTCTACAAATATAGATTACTAGAGCTCTGTTTCCAAATATTTTTGCAAATTAATTGAAATCAGTAAGTTAATAATTTTAATATATCTATATGTTAATGTCTGTGCCAACCCATATACTTTTTTCTAAGACAAGTAAAAAAGTTACTGTATTTCCGAGGTTGGAAGCATTTTTTTTGGATTGATATCAGCTGATCTACATCTGATATTTATAACAGATATGCACGGTAAGGATCGGTTCAATAAAGAAAGGGTTAGGACGTGAGAAATAAATGAAAGACATTGATAATCAATCATGGAGTTCTTTCTTACTTAGCATGGACAAGACCTCAAAAATCCTCAAGAAGTACTCCAGGCAGCCACTACCAATTGATCAGAGTTGGCATATGAGTTGAAAACCTATTTACCATCTTTGCCCTCAATTCCATTCTTAACACAGTTGCCAAACCTATCTTTCTAACATTCCATTCCCCTACTAAAATCCATCGTTGACTTGACATTGCCTTTAAGATGAAGTACGAGCTCTTGAATATAGCACAGAATGCTAACACAGCTTCTGCCTATCTCTTCAGCCTCAATGCCATTCTAGTCCCCAAAATACATGTCAACACAGACATATGTGTATACCTTCTCCCTTTCTCACTCTCTCTCTCTCACACACACACACAATACACTCCCCAGTAGACACACACATATACTTTAACGTACATTTATAGACAAACACACAGACACACATCTGTACTTAATTAAAATTTAGTACATTTAGTACATAAAATTAAAATTAATAATTTGTAAAACTCCTCCAAATCTTTCAAAAGTTGTATATATTGTCTCTATTTCACTCCCCATTATCCTTCATGCTTTTTTTAAAGATTTTATTTATTTGACAGAGAGACAGCACAAGCTGTGGGAGCGATGGGCAGAGGGAGAGGGGAAGGAAGAAGCAGACAACGCTCAGAGCTTGAAGCCCAATGTGGGGCTCCATCCAGGACCCTGAGGTCATGACCTAAGCTGAACTGACACTTAACCCAATGAGCCACTCAGCATCGCATCTTTCACGCATTTTGGATTACATACTCCCTACTTAGTCTTTTTGACAAATCTCTTCTTTGACTAGCTGGACTGAGATTTGTGTCCAAGAAGCCTCTTCTATATTACTTTATAGAAAACCATTAGCACATACTATGTGCTAATGTCATCATATTGACTAGATTTCACTTCTTAATACTGGCTTAATTATCTCTATATATAGATTAAACATATGTGAGAGTAAATATGGGATAATTGATTACTTGTTTTCTGATGCATAGGATGTATACACTATGCAGTAAGCATTCAACAAGTTATTTGTTGTATTAATTGAACATGTATTTTTCACTATTTTATAATATATATACTAATACATCTTTATCACATTATATGTGTTATTGTTAAAAGTGTTTTTTATGTACTAATTCACTTAACCCTCACAACAGCCTTTGAATTAAAGACTATAGAGATGAGAAACTTAATGTCTTTATTCAATTTTCCACAAAGGAGACTAGGATGAGGATTATTAAGCAAATGATTTATCTAGAAAGTGTTCCCAGGAGAAACCAGAAGGAAATGGAGGAAGCAGGTTGGGAAGGTAAAGAAACCAAGTAAGGTGTAATTTCTGGCTAAGCATGGCCTTATCCCAGAGGAAAGTTCTAGAATATAAATTAGGCCTTATATATTGTCCTGAAGGCAAATGAGCTGAATTTTCACCCTACTGCACCAGTTAGTCCTCAGCTAACAATACCCCAGGCAGGTATAAGCTTCCAGGCACATCCTATCTCTCAAACTACAGTTAAAGTTGTTTCTTCATCTTTTACTTTATCTTCATGTTTTCTTTATCTTCTTATCATTATTAGTAATTACAACATTGTTAGTTCAAACCAAGAATTAAATGGCATAGAATGAGATAGTACAAAGCACTGAGCAATGTAACCCATAATATGTATTCCATAAGTGGGAATATTTACAGAAACCACGTCTAATTATTTCATTTTTCTACCTCAAAGTTTGTGGGTTTGGAGATTCAAGGCTTGAAAAGGCACATGTTAATGATTAGCTTGTTTGAATGATTATAAGGGATCAGAACATACTATTGTTCCTTTTATAGTGCCCATTTCTTTGCCTTTGTAGAAAGAGAAGAACAAAATACACAATGTTAAGAATCCTAAAAATAATGGTATCATGAATAAAAGACTTTAATTTGCAGAAAAATAAGAATGTTCCCCTGCTGAAAATGACTCATTTATAATAATCTAAGTTTCAGGAATATATTAGCTGTCTCAGAACCATTAAGAAATGTTTAATGCAATATTGCTTTTCATGTATTAAATTGTTTTTACTTTGTTTTTCTTTTTTGGTGACTAACTGTGGGAGAAGAAATTGAATATCTTATACTATTCAATGGCTACTACTTCACACAGAATGGACAATACAGAAATGTTTGCTAATGGTATATTGAAAGCAATTTTTGCATTAAACATTTAAGTTTTATACTCATTATCAATGAGACAAACAATTAACAAGACACACACTACACAACAAAGCCAAGTCTGTCAAATGGGAATTATTTTTTTTTTAAATTTTTTTTTTTTAAGATTTTATTTATTCATGAGAGACAGAGAGAGAGAGGCAGAGACACAGGCAGAGGGAGAAGCAGGCTCCATGCACCGGGAGCCAGACGTGGGATTCGATCCCGGGTCTCCAGGATCACACCCTGGGCCAAAGGCAGGCGCTAAACCGCTGCGCCACCCAGGGATCCCTGTCAAATGGGAATTATTAAGAAAATTCAATAGATAATAATATTGAGTATGACAGGCTGCAAATTAAGGTGACAAGAGGTAAGGAATGACTTTCTGTAGAGATAACCTAAATCATGACCCAAAGGAATGGAAGGAGTTGATCACCAAAGAGCCAGGAGATGCGTTTTTAGGCATAAGGGAAATCAAATGAAAAGTACCTGAAGTAGGAAAGAAGACAGTATGATATAGAGTCAGGCAGAGAACCAATGATGGGGACATAATGAGCTGGGGAGAGAGTGAAATAACATTAGAGGTGCAGAAGAAGGCCAGACAAGAATTGGCCCTATTGTCCACTTTATTCTAAGCTAATGAGAACTAGGTGGTTACTGATCAAGAGCTTTAGAGAGCATAATGGAAGTTGTGAGAAGGACCATGGAACATGAGAGTATACAATTCAGAATACTGAAATGAAAATAGAAGGCTAATTGACAAAAAGCAAAAAAATATATATATATATATATTTTTTAAATCAAGGGAATTTAGTTCTAGAAAGATGGTATCATATACATAAATCATATGGTATCATGGCCACACATTCTGTCTTTCACTACTGCAAGCTAGTGGGGGTATGATATAGTGATATATGCTCTGATTTTTCCTAGAATGTTGAAACAAACACACACTCCCCTTCTCTGACTCACAGAGCAATTCTAAATCACCCTATAGGTATTAGCATGACGAAGAAGCCCTCTTTCATAAATAAGAAGCCTTTCCTTATTTGGGTACCTCTTCCAGTTACACAGTTACCATAGCAAATTTGTGCTAAAATCAAGATCCTTACTCACAATATTTTGACTCTGTCAATCTCTCTAATCCATTTACCTCACCATTGTTCTGTCTTCTCACATCCTGTCTTCACTTCTTTCCATAACTCACTTAAATTTTATAATCCATCATCAAATAGTGTTAAATCCTTTCTATTTAACTTATTCCCCTGACACTTAATCACAATCTTTGCTTAATTGTTTAATTTCCTTGACTCTATGATCCTTGGCCTCAAGGATATTGCCTATTTATATGATGGTTATTTACTTAGCACTAAGAAGGCACTAACTGTATTTATACTTATATCTTTCTATTAATGTTATAACTCAGTCTAAAGATTTATTGATATAGCCAACTTGCCCAGTAAAAAATATTAAATCAATAAGAAGCAGAGTATTATAATAAGAAACAATAATTTAAGAACACATTCTGGGACCAAAAAACATAAATAAATAAATAAATAAATAAATAAATAAATAAATAAATAAATAAAATATATACACATATCTATCTTCTAAGTTCCAGGCACACAAAAAATAAGAAGAGTGGAAAAACAAATTATAAAATAGTAAATAGGCAAATAATACATACATTACTAATATTCCCATTTAGCACTGTAGCTATAAAAACCGAAGTAGCAAATAATTCAATTTCAAATTAGTGATAGTATATTTTTATTATATTCTTTATTAATTCCTTTAGGAATAAAGATTCTGTTGGAACAAAAATTAACATCTTGTTATAGCAGCACATACACTAACACTGGAATTAGACAGAGAAGATTTGTAAGGGCCTTGAACAAGGATGACACACAAATCCAAGAAGTGTTTCATATTAAAAAAATAACATAAGAAATGTCAATTAAACTTTTATATTAATTTAATCAGATTTGGGGGTGGCATTTTATTTTGTAGCCAAGGCTACAATGATTTTAAAATATCATTGGTATAATTGATCCATTTTTTATGTGTAACTTCACAGTGAAAAAATAGTATTCTAAATTTCGAGACAGAACAATGAAATTCAGTCTCTCAAATGACCAATGAATTCAGGCTGAGGATTTGATTATCTTATTATTTTGATCTCATAAAGTATATATGTTGATATATTATATACATATATATATATATACATAAGATTAAGTAATATATATTATTACTAAGTAATTTATTTGTGTTTGAATCTTATTCTTTTCTTAAATCCCCTCTGGGACAACTGAAGACCAGCTTTATCAACACTGAACAGATTCTTAGATAATATGTTTAAAACTTGTTGCAGTATTTACAAATAAAAATATTGCTTTAGTATATGTGTCATGGGTAATGAATGAATATACCCACTTTCTATGTTTTAGCAAAAGAAATGCATTACAGTTAAAGAGAACCATAATTTCCGGGAGGCATAACATGCCATTTTCTCTCTCTTTTGTTATTTAAAATAATTTACAGAAGCCAGAACTGAGGTTTAGTAAGATATTTCATAACCCAATGTATTCATAATTCATTGCTGTGTAACAAATTAGCCCAAAACTTAGCAGCTGCAAGCACAGACCACCTATTATCTTACTGTTTCTGTAGGGCAACAATTTGGGAACAATGTAGTTGAATGAATTTAACTAAGGGTATTTCACAAAACTGCAATCAAGATGTTATTGAGACTGCATTGATTTTAGGCTCATATGGAGGAGGAGCTGCTTCTAAGGACACTCACATGGCTGTTGGCTTAAGACAACAGGTTCTTGCCATGTGGTCAGTTCCATGGGAATACAGACACTGTGACAACCTTTCTTTCTCCAAAGCAGAGTAAGAGATAGAGACAACTAAAGTGAGAGCAAGAGAGAAACAAAAAAGGATTCCCATTGGGAAGACAAAGGGAGAAACTAGTTCATAGAAATTGTAACATCCAATCAGACAAATATAGGCAGCTCTTAGAGTAGGTTTCAGGCCAGGGAATAATTTTTTATGAATTTCAATTCAGCCCTCAAGGTTCTGGGTACCATCCTCTTAGTCATGTTTCCTTTTTTCTTTTCTTATTTTCATAAAACATAACACACATCTGCAACTGATAGAGTAGGCAGTTAACTAGATGTGAGCAGGGAACATGGGTTTTGTGACTGTTAAGAAGTTTCAAACAGCTGTGAGACAATGTGGGGAATATGCATGCACTCTCTTTTATGACTGTGGCCCTACAGTAATCTATAGTTTCATGGTAATACATTTACTTCGAAGTTCTGACCTCCATTGTGGAGGATGGCTGCCATGACCATTCCAACACGCACTGTATAAGGCCGAAAACTTCCTATACCAACCAGTAGGAAGAGTCCCTAAAATGATTGGAGGCAACCTTAGTCAGAGACTACCCTGGCTATAACCCATAATCTATTCAAACATAAAAAGAAAAGATGACCCAGGCCCCCATGTAGTCGTCACCTCTGGGCCTGCCCGCTCTCCAACCTCCAGAGTGTACTTTTGCTTTAACAGCTATACATGCTTCTTTGCTTGCTTGCTTAAGAGTTTGGTTCTGAATTCTTTCTTGGTTGATCTCAAGAATTGAAGCCAGGGAATGGGATTAGCCAAGGACAGAACTGATAGATCTCTCAGAGTCCTTCTTGCTAGTAGGATTCCAGGGATCCAAAGTTCTCTCTTAATTTTATACAATCTCTGACTCTCAATCAAAGCAGATGATGTTTTTGCCTCTTAAATACCAAATCGGTGTCTTAACCTTATACCAACAAAAAAAGAGGAGCAAACAAAACCTGAAGATAGCAGACCTAATAAAATAATAGGTTCTTCACTTGAAATGTATGTAGTGTGATTGTGAATATTTCAATAAAGCTGTTATGTAAAAATAAAAATTTTCAATCAGATATGATTTACGTTTTAAAAAACAAAAGTAACTTCAACATGTTAATGATGATAGAAATTTTCACTTTAATCCTCTTTTCTAATTTAGAAAATAAACCTTTAAAAGTTTTCAGAAATATTAGCCAAGAGCAAGTAAGAGGATGTATCTGTAAGGATAGATAGGTGATGGTGAAAGGTCTCCATGTTGGCTAACATAAAATCATGTCTAGTATTTGTCACCATAATACAACACCCAGATATGTGGACAAAAATGAGCCTACTTTCTGCAGTCTAATACTCTTTTTCTTCCCCTGGGCCTCACATTGATTGGTCCCCAAAAGTAGTTCATCTGTGAATGAATGTTTGGATTACAAAGGAGTAATAGTAAGAATATGATGATAATTACCTTGTATGCTTAATTTTATATGTTAACTTGACTGGATTAAGGGATGTGCAAATTGGGACTCCTGGGTGGCTCAGCGGTTGAGTGTCTGCTTTTGGCATGAGGTGTGATCTCGAAGTCCAGGATCAAGTCCCGTATTGGGCTACTTGTAGGGAGACTGCTTCTCCTTCTGCCTATGTCTCTGCCACTCTCTGTGTGTCTTTCATGAGTAAATAAATAAAGTCTTAAAAAAAAAAAAAGAATAGCCAGTAAAACATTACTTCTGGGTGTGTCTGTGAAAACGTTTGTGAAAAAGATAATAAGCATTTGTACTAGTAGACTGAGTCAAGAAGGTCTGCCTTTACCAATATAAGCATCTCCAGTCCACTGGAGGCTGAAAAAAAAGCAGAAGGGGAGGAAGGACAAAATCTTTCTTCTGTCTCTTTCCACCTGAGCTAGAATGTCCATCTTCTCCTCCCCAGAACTGGAATGCTAAAAATTAAATAAAACAGGATAAGAAAAATTGAAATTTTGCTCTAGTTGTATAAAGCAAACATAGATAATAATCACTTGTTTGAAGAGCTTATTTTTTTCTAATACTCTGTAATGTATTTAGAGCTATGAATATCTATCAATATGTGTCAGGTTTTAAGTTATAGTTGAATAAAAAGCATACTTTGCTCATTTTACCAAGTTTGCTAGTCAGTTTGTCAAGATTTTCCATCCACAATTGAAAAACTTAGAGAAAACATTGTTTTCAGTCATATTTTTTAACAGAGGGCAAAATGTGAGTTGAACTGCATATTTTTCCATTAACATTAGTTCACTTCTCTCTTAATTCACAGTTTTCAATAAAATGTCCTACCTTTTAAAATATGCATTGTTTTGTTGTATTGTTTTGTTCCAGATAAGCTACTATTCAAAGCATATCCTATTAAGTATAATTCTTTGTAACTTGGGTTGCCTTTCTTATGAAAGAGCTCATTCATCCTCCAAGAAAGGACAGTACTTACTGCATGTTAAGCATTGTGTTAGCTTCAACCAGCTGATGGAAAAGACAAAGGTACTGCCCTGAGGTGAAAGACCTTACCATGTAATGTGCCTCATCTTTAAAACCTTTTTTTCTTTGAAAGAACTCAAAGTGCTTTATTCCAATTTTATATCATGGTTGGATTTTTGACTGACAGTTTAGAGAAGGTCCTAGAGCCATTATTAATAATAAAATAGTTTTGTCTTTTTTTCAGTTCTTATCAGGTCCTAGTCACCAAGGCTAAATACTTTTACTTTTTATGACAAAAGCATCATGTTCATAATGGCAGTATGAGTCAGGTGCTACTTTTTAATCACCATTTTAAAGATGTTTTCCAACATCCAGAACTATGAGAGAATAAATTTTTGTCATTTGGAAAAATAAATAAATAAAATAAAGATGAAAATAGTAAATATTAATTTATGTCATATGCTCAATGTAAATTCACTAAATGACTCATAGCTGAAAAACAACATTATTTTGATTAGAAAATTCATATTCTATCTAAACAACTGCTTTCAATTGTTTCTATATCCTTGTGTTCAATCTGTCAGACACTATCAGTTTATTGTTTTAATATTAATGGTTCCTTTAAATGTATGTATAAGACTATTTTTTGAAATGTATGCCACTGTCATATATAGTTGTATAAAATTAAGGATGTATAATATGATAATACTACCTTTAATCAATTTCTAGAATGAGGAGCTGAGTGATATAAAGTCAAATAAAACTTCTAGGAATGAAACATGAGCCTTGCAAGAAATTTATCTGTATTTTCTCTCTCTCTTATTTATTTTATTTTTATCTCCTGTTCTTTTAGATATTTTATCCTAACTATCCTAGCATATATATACCTACAAAATATTTGATTAAAACTCAATTGCTAATCGTTATGTTAGTGTCTACTTGCTAAGTACTGAGATGATTGTGGCTGGGCTGTTTCTTACATTTTGTGTATTTAATTAGTTTTTGTTAGTAGTAGTAGCAGTAGTAGCAGTGCATGTGTATGCACAGGGTGACTGTGGTAGTGGGGGTAGAATAGTTGTACCCTTTTTTTTGTCCTCTATTTATGTTCTTCAGTCCTTAGTTGTCATTGTACAGTCATGCTTAATTCTTCTGAACAGATGCTCTTTTCAGGAATGTTCCTATGGAATTTAGAACCTGACTTTAAAAAGAAAGGAATATCTTGCAGAGGAAACAAACATAGGTATAACATCAGATATAACAGAAATAAATATATATGTAACATAATGTAGAGTATATCTGCCAGATATAAATGTATAACAGTTTTTATTCAGAGACAGAATTAGTTTAAGCAACAACTCTTCCTAAATGAGGAGTAGTAATGTGCTTTGGAAAATATGAATCTAGTTTTGTTACACCTGTGATTTTTCCCTTTTCTAATTCTACTAGATCATGCTATATTCTTGGGAAAAAATATTTTTCTCCTCTAGATTCCATTTCACCTTTTAATTATGTGGTAATTTTGAATGAAGTATTTAATATAGTATCTGAATAGCAGCCCTGCTTCATAAAAGAATGAGATGGATACCAAAAATCATCCTACATATGCTGCATAAA